TGGTGCAGGTTGGTGTGGGTGCAGCGTTCTCAATCTACACGCACAGCCGAAACCATGAAAGACGATCTCACAAGAATAGCCCGCGTGTACATGGTCGTTGCACGCTACACCTTGCCGCTTGGGATCCCAACTCTGCATGGAATGCCTCGCATGTTGTTTGCACTAAATAACCCACCCTTCGTATCCGCCCAACGTGCGGCAGATCTATCCTACACCGCCCGGACGATCCGATGGTATTCTGTCGAGACTTGCTGGAAAGGAGCATTGGAGAACGGGACGGGAAAACGGCCGCGTACGACCCGACTTGCCCGGGTCGGTTGCTGAAGGTAACTGTTAACTGGACCAAGCAATGCGGGTCTGTTTTGGTTGACAGACCTATCGGCAATTATTACACCAGAGCGAATGTTCTAGGAAAGCACGCGAAGGCCAATCTACTTTGATTTGTCTCCACTCTGACAGTGTATCAGCCGCGTTCATCGGAAAGACGTCGACGCACACGCACGGTTTCGCTCGAGGAGTGCCCGCTGGTGGTTAGGTGTATGAGTGTCCATCGTCTTTAGTACCAGGGGGGCTGGAGAGCAAGGACAGTCATAAGACGTGTGGCTCCAATCGGATCGTTGTAATCAAGTCCTCCACGTTCGAAAAATAGGGAAGTCTCTAACCCTTGGTCTCGAACCACACTCACTGGGAAGAAAGACTAGAACGAAACCGACCGTTCCGTCGCAATATCGAAAAAGACAAAGGAATGCTTTTGTCTGCATAAACGGTAATGCCACAAAGATGGACGAAACAAGGTTGTTTGATATGCCGCCCGCTTTTCCTTGCTGCTTAAGCTATGTTGATTGTGGCACCTGTCTGGAGGCCCGGCACTTAAGTCCTGTGCCCGGACACAAGCAAAGTCCAAGATAATACTGCCGGGTTCACGGCAACGGACATTTCACCCACCCCCGGGCCACGAACGTGTCACCTGGACACCTCTTTACCATTTGACACGCTAGTTGACGCTTTTAGGAAATGATTATGCTTTCCGTAACCCATCTCTGAGCATCGAACCGCCGCCAACACCACAACGCGGCGGCAAAACACGCACAACCAGGAGTGCTACGACGACGCGATGAACGCGGCTGACGAGCACGGCATCATCCACCCGGAGGCATGCCCCCACCCAGTCACCGGGAGAAGAGCGGACGGCGATGTCTCCGCCGCCGCCGCTGCCACCACGGGTGGGACCGCGAAGGACACGTCAAGCAGCGGCAGCAGCGGCGACGGCGGCCCGACCGGCGACCCGGCACCAGCACCCGGCGACGACTCTTCTGTCCAACCCGTGCCCCCCACCACGGGCAGTAACACCCCGCCTGCACCAGCAGGAACAGGAGCAGGAGGAGGAGTAGAAGGAGACGGAGCGGTCGGGGATGTTGGGCAGGGAGCGTCTACGGGGGCCGCGGCCGAAGTGATTCGACCGCTTCTGCTCGGGGTGATTCGGGAGCTGTGTGAACTCGAGAGACCTGAGGTTGCCGCGGCGGCCGTGGTGGCGGGAGCATGCAAGGTGACGCGATTGTTCTGGTCAACGTAAACATTTTTTTTTTTCTCTCGGGGGTGGAAGAGGCGGGGAAGAGGGCAGAGTTCGCTCGCGTGAAGGATCGGGTGTATACGAGTTTGGAGCAACGTACCACAATCCGTCCGTTTATATCAAAACAACGATTTACGTTGTCCTTCTCAGGAGTAAGCCCATCACCCCCATCGCCATTCGGGACCCAACGTATTGTTCTTTCTGGCTCCGAACCCAAACTTCTGGAGGCCGTCGTTTTGTCACCTGTCACTGCACCTGACGGCAGCACACCTCGAAACTTCTGTTGTTCCAATCCCCCCTCCCCCCATGCAGCAGTTGTTATCGTACGTTTGTTGGGTACTCGTGCACCATCAGAGCGTTTACGGCAACACCGCTCCCACCTGCCACGCCGTTACCAGCCGCTAGCCTCTGAAGTTCTCGTAGGGGAGTTCTTCCCGCAGCAGGGAAAACACGGTGTGTTGCGTACGCGTGAGAGACAAGTGCTTGGTGCCGTCGCTGTAGGCACCTCCTAGCATCTCCCATTCAAGAAAAATAGCCAGCGCAGCGTAGAGCACGAGGTGTCTCTGTGCATTCATTGTCGTCGTCCTCCTGGTTTCGTCACCTCTCGTCCCCGTCCTGCAGGCCGTCAACGCTGGCCGGGCCGCGCTGTTTAAGTTGATCGACAAGGACGGCACCTTGCAAGAGGTGACACATCTAATAATCCGTCACCCGAGCCAAGATAGGGTCATCCAACTGGACTTACGATCCAGCAAACCGCAAATTCCCGCCTACAGTTTTTTAGAGATTCAATGGCGGTACTGCTCGAATGACCAATGAATCAGGGTCCGGGTTAGTTCTCGAATGTCATAGTGCGGCCAATGCCTTGTTTGTAGCGTTGACGGACAACGTGTTTTGTGGGATAGGTAAACATCGCGTTTTGGCTGATGACGGCCCACGAATAATAACGTCGCCCAGCCCACGTGCCCGACCTATCAGAGGAAGTGGCAATCAACTACTCTAGTTACACACTTTGGGTGCTTAGGGATAGGGAACGTCTTGTTGGTTCGGACGACATTCCAAGGCATTTGACGACTCCGGCGCGTCTTGATCGGGAGAAGAGTCCGGCTGCTGCTTCTCCGTGTGTCGGCTGTCAAACCTCGTTCCAACGGTAGGGGGGGAATAGGCCGAATTCCGGCAGCCAGTTTGTCCTTTGCGGCCACCCACCGTGGAGTGTGGGATGGCTTGAAAACCAGCTCCCATGAGCACCTGCCCTGAACTTGGCACACCGGGTGCACAGCCGAACAAATCATGTTGCACATAATGAGGTTCCCTCTGTGAATATGAGTGTATGTGTCCGTGCAAGTGTGCCTCGTGAGCCTTCTGGAGGCTGATGTGGTGCCCGACTCGCCACGTGCTCACCGTCGGCTTGGGGGTCAAGGGACAGAAGGCGGCATCACCCGTTTGATTGAACACATCATGGTGACACAGCAACCGTTCGACCGACCTAACTCGCCGAACCTCTAAACGCAGATGGGTAGCGGAACCTCGGACCAGCGGATCGTCGAGCCCGGCAAAGGCTTAGTGGGGCGGGCGGCGGCGGCAGCGGTTGCAGCAGGAACGGGGACCGAGGGGCGTGGTGCTGGGGCCATCCTGACGACGAAAGATCCGTCCAAGGAAGATGGGTTTTGCGCAGAGGTGGACCTGCCGCCTTGTGAAGATCCGGCGCGAGAGACAGCAAATTGGTGAGAGCAAGAGATGAGGAGCGCTAAGCACGGTGGTCTTGCGGCAGATGTGTCATGGGGTATTGTGCTTTGTCGACGCTCGATTTTATCTTACCGCCGCCGGATTGTCTCAAAAGTTTGGGGAAGTTGGAGAGGGAACGATAAACCCGCGATCGTTCGATTGGCAGTTGGTCGTCTTCACATGTGCCACACACGCAACAATACTTCATAGCTTTGACAGATGACACGTGGGAACACCGATCGATGCAGGTCAGGTTTCCACAATACGCACGCCGCACCTCTCTACCGTACGGTCGTACCCAGGACAACGGTGTCCCCTGGAACCTCTATTACATTCCTTCAGTCCCGCGTTCAACCCCGCTTTTGCGAGCAGTAGCACGTCGGGACTGATCTGCGGTCCTGTCAAGGACGGCTTGGGCGAAACTTGGGGGGTGCTGGTCGTGGCGGAGCCTTTGGGCGACGGGGGCGCGTTCGACGAGGAAAAAGTTGACGCCTTCAGGTCCGTTCGTCTCTATTCCCCTTTCCGAATCCTTGCGGGGCAAAGACCAAACGACCACTACATGCTACCGTCGCAAGCGAACGGGGGTTGTAGGAGTTTTTTTTCCAGTGTCTCACGAAATGCCCGACCACTCTCCTTTTTCGAGCTGGAACCATACCAAATCTCCCTCAGATAGCATAGCTTTACCGCGAACACTAACTGAACGTAATCCCTCTCTGTCAGGTAGAAGGGAATGTCCCATTAGTCCGCACCGACAGTGTGGACTACAGGACCAGCCCCACTAACACAGCAAATAAACATCTCGCGGGTTCGATTCCCGGCACCTACAATGATTGTATTTACGTGCGCGCTGTGGGTGAACAGGACCGTGTCTACGATGGCTGCGGTATCGATGAATAACTCGGAGGTATACGGGCAGGGCCAGACCGGGTGCGAGAAGTTCCGAAACATGATCGAGGTCATCGAGGCCACGAACGACAACCTCGGGGTAAGCATGGAAGGTTCTCTACTTCTACTACATAAATGTTGCGCGTCAGGTGGACTGGCCGCTTCGCCATCTCAAACGATAATCCAACGGGAATATTGCCGTGCCCTGCAGTACAGCAACAAATCGAGACGCGTGCCCACAGTCGTTTCGATTCCGTAGCGCGTGGTAGAGGAAGTTTCGATGGGTGGAGGATCGTCCTTATCAGTCCGTGGAGATCAAATAAACACTGAAAGGTGTCCGAAGCCTCAATTTGGTGATCTCATCATGTTTCTTTTCGAGAATTCGCAACAACAACGTCAGTGCTGATAGCAAAACGTTGCGTCTTGCGAGGTCGACTTCGTGGACAACGTCCATGAAAGAACAAAATGCGGCGCAGGCAAGTAGTCGATGTGGTGAAACCAAGCGGCGCCTACAAGCTCCCTCATCTAGTCACTTTGTTAGCATCCGCCTCTCACGAGGATCACCGCCACCACCAACAACACCGTACTTACCTACTTGCGACACCGACGTCACCCCTACCTCACCGTCAAATGCCAGCAGCAACCTTATACCCAATCACGCAAGCATCATCAGCTCCAGATCCCGCACCAGCATCAACACCGACGACAACGCCACCATAAAGCGATAAGCACAAGCAGAACCGTGTGCCAGCAAACAACGCTACCAGCAACATCACCACCGAAATGACAAAACCACGGCGGGGGTGCTCTACCAACCACAAATATGTTGCCGATTTGCCCCAAGGTGAACCACCTGCTCTACACGATAGCCAAGTGCTTGCCGGTCATCTGCGAGGCGCAGAAGTGCACCTGCTTCCTCGTGGACGACGACAAGGACCAGCTGTGGGTAGTCCAGGGGGAGGTCAACATGAGGGTGCCCAAGAACAAGGGTATCGCGGGCGCGGTCGCCACCTCGGGGCACGTGAGTGGACGCAGTCCCCCGAGACTTGCCATGAGCGGTTGCGGGTGGAAGTTGCGGATGGAGGCTTCCCGTTTCGCATTGCACGAAGCTGAGGGTGACGATGCACACCAGCGTTGAGACGTAGGTGTATTTCTGCCACGGGAGAGAGGGACGAAATGGAGATATTAAGCGGGGTTGTTGTGGGGGGGCTTGGAGCGTGTCGAGGGGAACTGGTCCCGTCGCGACTGGTGGATGCATTTTCTGAGCGACAACAATGTTGGCGGAGACTGGATGGATGTCTTGACACTGCTTGCACGAACTCACGTCAAGTCCGTTGTTCACCCCCATATCTTCGCTTGGGTGTATGTTCTCCTCTTGACGCCGTATACGTTTCTCGCACTAAAATAGGCGGAGAACATTTCCGACGTGTATGCCGATCCGCGTTTCAACAAGGAGGTGGACTTGGAAACGGGGTTCCAGACGCACTCCATCCTCGCCATGCCCGTAAGGGGAGGGGAGGAAAACAAGTCAGTGAAGAGCGTAGCACTACTGTAGATAATATTTTCGCGTTCCCCCCGTTCCTATCATTGTTGTTGTGTTTACGGGAACCATTTTGTCGAGTGCGCAGTTCCCTCTCTAGCAATCAGAAAACGAAGTCGATATGGGGCATCACAAACAAAGGAGCAAACAACCAACTGGGCGCACTTGGTGTGTCATGGATGGTTGTTCACTCTGTACTAGTTATGTGAGAGGCGCAAGCGATCAAAAGCAACGTGTTGCTCGAGGTACTTAGTTTGCGCAGAGCAGCTGCGTAGAAGCACCATCCTCAGCAAGGCCGACGTGATCTGTTGACGTACTCCTTCCGAAACACAACATCGTCAACCATACCCAATACGTTTCCCACCCGCACCACCTGTACCGCATCAGGGTGATTGCAGTGGTGCAGTTGATCAACAAGCAGGGGAGGATGCATGAAAGCGGCCGTCGCGACTCTTGCACCGGCATGCACTTCACTCCTCAAGATATGGCCATCATCGGAGCCTTCCTGTCTCTGCTCGGCCCCCGCATCTTCGAGTCCAGCATGCTGCAGCCGAAGCGCAAAATGCACATCAAGGTGTGTTGCTTTTTGTTGTAAAGAGTGTGAAATGTATGTCCCCCTCCTCGCCTGTCCTCAAGTTAGCATCCAATCAGGTACCGAGGAAATTACTCCGATCCCATATGTATGCCGACTCCCGCTCAAATGTTATCCTCTCCATTCTCAGTACGTGCCACCGATGTTCAAGGTTGACAGCGATTGGTTTAATTCCATCGCCGTACCCGCAGCTTGTTGTTTGTAACCACCTGTGAAGGGGCAGAAAACTGCGGATTCATTGTGTGGGGGGCGCTCATTAGCAAAATTACCATTATGTGTTACTGTGGAGAACACCTTCATAAAGGTTGAAACTCCCCAACGTCAGTCGGGGACGAAACCCCTTTTCCACAATGGCGTCGACGAAGAGATGTCAGGTGTCTGCTTTTGGCTGCAAAGGACACGGGTCTAAAACCCGCTGCTCACCTAATTTTCTTCCGGAGTACGGAAAAAGAAAAACGGTGGGTGGGCCAAGAAACGATGCACTGTCTATCGAACTCGAAACTTCTGGCAATGCGTGGCGGAAGCGGCGCACCCGCACACCCGCACAGAAGATTGTTGGAAAAATTGGGGGTTCTACTCGCCGCCAGCCGGTCGGGTTCCGGTTACCCCAAGAAGACTTCTCTTGCCTAGCAAACAAGAAGAAGCCTCGAAAAAGGGGGGGGTAATGTGGAGAACACCTTCATAAAAGTTGAAACTCCCCAACGTCAGTCGAGGACGAAACCCCTTTTCCACATTTTTTCGAAAAAGGATTTTAGCCTATCCTGATGATCTTGCTGTCACCTCTGACGGGCTCTCTCTTGCGCTTGAGTGCTGTGGGTAGAAACTTTTTCGAAGCTAAATGTGAACAAAGGTGTCGTGCCCGATTGTCACAGTGTGCGATCTTACGTCCGTTCGGGGAAATCGCTACATAGTGGGCCCCGAACCGCCCTTCAGGGTATGGTACAGTACTAGATGGCCCCTTCCGCCGAACTCGCCGTACCTCTTGATGCAGAGTCCAACGCCATCGATTCTCTTGCGCCTCTCGGCGCGCCAATCAAAATGCGTGCGCACCCAGGTGAGCAAAGTCGGCGACGACGAGGAAGCGTTTCCCGAGAACCAAGGCATCATGGACGTAATGAAACGGAGGCAAAAGTCGACGGGCTCCGTCGTGATTGGCCTGGATGCTCAGCGATTCGAGGAGAGCGAGAACGAGGACGAAGACGAGGAACGGGCGGCTGACAACGACCGCGAAGCCACGTCTAGCCTGGGAAGCTCTTCCGTCCAGTCCAAGTGAACGAGCTTTTCGACTCGTTTTCGCGAGCGGAAAATCGTCGACATGTGTTAAAAAACAACCAACCGACAAGTTTCTCTGGAGTGGCTCCTTTGACACTCTGATCACAAAAATAGCACCCTCCACTTTGGGATACCGCATACTCAAGCGCCATCATCTGGTGCAAGGGGCGATGGGAAGCGGGAACAGAAAACAGCAAAGTCCCCCTTTCAACAACAGCCCAGATCACCTTTTCTGAGGAGCTCCAGCATCGGACCCACCCGTGGTTCGCAAAGAACATCAAGCAGTAGTGCAGAAAAATGTTGGCACGAGGTTTCTTTGGCCATTGAAAGAGCGATTTATCGAGTACCCGTGCGGAGAGTACGGCAAGAGACGGGGAATGTTGGCTTTGTAGCAACAACTGTTTCGATCGCGATGCCGCCAGTAGCATGGGTTATATAACCCGTGCAACCTGGTCAGATATATAGGCTAGACCAAGCAGTAGCGACAAAAACTGCGAGCGACGGTAATTTATCGGGATGAATACACAAAAAGGTCCGTTCAGAAGATGATCATCTCCGGAGAACAGCTGTACGGCACCGAGTCCTCGAACAAAAGCCACGTCATCTGGGACCACGGCCGAAAGCCCTAAGACCGCACGCCGTACGCGCTCACACAAACCTTCCTACACAAGACATGGCGAAGGCGCCACCACGCAAGAATCCACCAGAGCCCATATAGAGGTTTAAGCAGAGGTCTCTTCACTCAGCGCCTGTTCTCATCGTGAACTCCTCAAGTCGCCATCTTTCGAGCCTCAAGTTCATCTCGCAGGTTATGAAAGCAAAGGAGCATTTTTTTCCCGTGCTTGGCCCTTTTTGACATGTGTCCGATCGACCTTGCAGAAAGGAGTAGCCGCACCCACCCACCAACTCACAAACCAACCCCTGAGTGCGTACGTGTGCGCACCAATCACGCACACATCTACTCATTTGTTGATCACATTGCACATCCCACAAGTTGTGCTACTGCACCCTCCTCCCCCGTCGACTGATTGGCTCTCGTCCGGGTGCTGCACGAACAAGGACGCATGCAGGTGCCTACAAAAGGACGAGCACGAACAGAAAACACATAAATGCCCCGGTTGAGCGTAGCTCAGCTCGTCGGCACCTTGTCGCCGAAGCGATCGGGCAATGCAAAGATTCGAAAGCGCGAGCCGCCTGTAATCGCTGGATGGATCTTTTTCAAAACAACAGGGACCCCAACAGCCCAGCCAGAACGGATGTCACTACCGCCTGTCGAATGAGACGAGAGAGAGGGAGAGAGAGAAAGAGAGAGAGAGAGAGAGAGAGAGAAAGAGAGGAAGAGAGAGGGAGGCAGACAGACAGCACCAGATACGGAAGGGACAGAGATAGAGGGCAGGGGGTGGAGAGGGGAAGGGAGAGATGATGATACCGAGAACGCGGGAAAAGCCGAAATCATCAGTCAAGCAGGGCAAGGCTATGGTAAATTCTGCAAAGCTATAGGAGGGCCCTTTCACTGTATATAGGAGGGCCCTTTCACTGTTCCAGCAGGGGCGACGTGCCGAAAGGCGTTGAACAAGCAAAACAAAAAAAGGAACCAAAATTGTGCCCTTCATTGGAAGTGTACGGTCAAATTCGTTATTCATGTTCTCGTTTTTTGGTGCTCAAACATGCCGCATACGCTGGGAACTTTGAAATGTATCCGAACGACTACAGTACAGCGGTACAGCGGCGTGTGGACACATTCAAATACGATAATACCGTGGCCGAATCCGAGTACGTACGTGACATTCCGTACTGGTCACGATACAAGGGTTACGTTACGGGCATCTGTCCTAAAGGGTGTCGAAGCATCGGTGGCTAAGCCGCACCTTAGACGAACAGGCAGCAGTTACGTTCCTTCAAGGAGGCAGTCTCGGCCTGAGACCTGCCTACCTAACACGCGGTTTGTTTACTCAAAACTACCCCGGAAAAAGAAGAAAGAGAAGCCTGTCCACTGACGTGACCGTATCGTACGAATACTTGCCCACCTGTCGTTCGGATCACACTTGCCGTTGCGCGATTCGGACGTACTGAGACCGTTAATCTGAGCTCAAATCAAGCCAAAACCCGATCGCGAGACAGCAGCTGGAGATACGGCGAGAAGACCCAGGACTACAAGGTCACTGCGCAGTGAGTCGCCAGCGTTCGCAAAATAAGAGCAGGTGCCACAGGGCGTTATTGGCATCTTTCGACCCCTGTGACACGGAACCAAGCTGGACGAGAGATGAGTCCACTACTAACTCTACCCTGTGCGGTGTGTACATGTCACGTAAAGCTGGACGGAAAATTCCGTCTGTGCACAGTCTGTCAGGAGGAACACCCTCAACTCTTCCATCTTCAACCCGAAGGTACTTGGCTAAGGCGCCAACAAATAAGACAGCATCATTAAGATAAGACAGGGTAAGTGGACTCATTTCGGTGGACGCTTTGACTCTCAGCACCCCCCTTGTTGTCTTTCATGAGTTGAGCGAGGGTTCCGGGAGCCCTTATGCTTGAAAATCCCCTTTGCCATTCGATGCAGCCAACATCGGACTCAATGTTGGCTGCAGCTAAGGGTGAAGGAGATGCTCGCAAGCGAAAGGTCAAGCAGCACACAATGGGCCGAGTAGCTGAACAGATGTAAGCCAACATGGGGGGCGAGACAGCATATATTGATATTTGTCGGGGCTTCCGCCGGAGAGCCCGATTTCCTTGTCTTTTCTTAACGGTGCTGTCTTCTTTGTGGGCTCCTCAGCCATGTACCTCCAGCTTGAGGATGGAGGAGTTCGGGTTATTCCTCACGACAGGACGAAGCACGGATGGAAATGTCCGGCCAGTGCCTGACATGTACACAACGTACAGGGTGTAGAGTTGTTTCTCAAACTCATCCCCGTCAAGCTTGGCTAGTACCGATAGAATACCAGACACCAAAAATGCCCTCACCGACACCACATTAACTTGCTCATTGGTGAGGATATCTCGACCGGATATCCTCTTCAAGTCTCCACCCGCGACCGCGGACGCCGACGGTTTCTCGACGATGACCTTGCGCTTCCTGTTTTTTTTTTCATACGCGCGATTTGTTTCTTCATTGAACAGTCCTGCCTCTTCGTTTCGTTGTTTTGGTCTGCGAGAAGGCACGTCATTTAGACACAAACGCGCACAAATGAATTGAACAATCCGGTGCTCTACGTGCGGTGACCGTGCGATCCCGCTTTCACGCCGTCGTTCGTTTCGCTGCCAAGCACACACGCTCGGGCATCTACCAGGAGAAGGCCCAAATTGTGAAGTTTCTCATCCCATTGAGATATATGAAACGTCGCCAGCAATATCTCAGATGTATTCTGCGGGGTTTTCCTCTGCAACCGAGGTGATCAATCCGGGGTCACACAGCACGTGTTCTAGGCGGGTGCAAACCTGTACCGTTAACGCGAGGAAGACAAACAACAAAAAAAAAACACCGGAATAAAACCGGCTCAAAGATGCGCCTAGTCCCCGACCGCACTTTTCGTTCTTATTTGTTCTGAACGTTTACTACGACCACACGGCACGATTGCGGATGCGCAGCAGCGAACTAATCAGGGACCTGTATCGACCTGGACGAAGAGAGGCACAGGGCACAAAAACAATTACGACAACACCACGACCACACGACGCGCAGACCGCTTATCCCCCTCACGTGTCAAAGTACGACGCCTGTAGGACGGCGCCCATGAGCGAGTCGAGGATAGACCCCGCCAGCCCGCTCACGCCCCCGAGCAAAACCAGAGGGAGTTGCGAGGAGGAGGAGGAGGAGGAGGAGGAGGAGGAGGAGGAGGGACTGCTGTGTCCAGCCGGGGATGGTGGGGACAGCCGGAAGACCCAGCCGAAGCAAACAAAGCCTTGATGGTTCAAAACAAGGTCGTGAGAGCACACGCAAAGGAGGGGGTGAAGGGGGAAGAAAGGCGGCCGGTCCCAGGCGGGGGTGAAAAGACGCCGGTGTTTTTGGCGGCGGCGGTGTGTGCGTTTGCGATGGGCGTGCCAGGGAATAGGGGTTGTCGTGCTGAACGAACACATTTTGTTTTCAAAGCTGACACGGGTGCCCTTGCACCACGCAATGGCCGGCGCTGCTGCTGCTGCTGCTGCTATACTTTGAAGTACTGTTTCCGACAAATATCGACGAAGGGGCGTAGTCTTCGTTGCTTGCATTAGTCATCTTACCATGGACCATGCGTTACCCCTTTGCAGACAGAGCACCGGTCCTTTTCCTACTGGAGATGACACCAGGCCACCTACTGGGCGGTATTACCCCTTGTGTCTGCACGACCAAGCACACACAGACGAAGCTGTCGACAGTTTTCGGTGGATTCATATTCGACGTTCCATGCAATTTGCATAGGACCTGGTCGGGCACAAGAAAACACCGAAAACAGCACACCATCAAGGTTGTCATTTCAACTAAACCTACCGGCGCCCATCACCACACCGGCGGCCGCGGATGCCACCGTCCCCATCAGCGACATCCCTCCGTTCGTCCCCTAGAAATGATGGCAACAACCGCCGCAGACGCGGAACCGAGGGGAAAAGCCAAGGGGGGGCGCGAAGTAGAAGCATCGAAGGGACGCACGGACACGGAACAGACAGGTAGACAGACGCATGCGGTTGAACATTGTAAGGGGCAGGAGCGGCCCTGGAACGAGGTTGGCTCTCGATTTATCAGGTGCAAGATAGCTGGCGTCAATAATGGTTGTAAAAATAACGCGAAAACCACTCATCGGTTCTTTCCAGCGAGGGGAAGGTGGAAGGTGGTCATCGTCAGGGAACGAGAGGGGAAGAGGAAGAAAGAGAGGGGTAACTTCGGCCTTACCAGAAGCTCCTAGAGAGCCTCCAGGTGCTTTTTGACGTCGTTACAGTCATCGGAAGGCTCGTCTCGCTTAAAAACCGGCTGCCCGCCCTCGAATGCTCTGCCGAACCCAAGTCCGCCACATACGGTGGCAAAACCGCCACACATCTACAAACAAACACAAGAGAGTCGTTATTCTACAGAAATACGACGCAGCGCCATCCATCCTTTGGAGGCTGGCACTGACTCAGCGCTGCTTCCGCAATCCCACAGCTTGCGCATAGCAGGCGGCCGCCGCAGAAGCAAACAAGCGGTTTTACTCACGGGAGGAACGGTTTTCCATGGCTTGGTGATCAGTCGAGGAGGTGTTTTGCTGAGAACCCCGAGTTCCGAGCTCCTGCCGGGATGGCAAGAAGGGGGGCGGGGGGCGGGGCGCCAAGAATGTATTAACTTTAGAATACCGCCGGAAGAAGAGCGCCAATCACGCAAGGTCAATCGATCCAGGGCGAACAAGGCAGCACGTGTTGTGCTCGGTGGCCACCGTCATGGTTGTCTCACGCATCGGAGTAGAACAGCTGGCTAGCACGCTCACTCCGCCACGCCGTACGTCTCCGGCGCAGCAGCAAAACAGCAGAGAGCTACAGCAGCAGACGTGCTTGATTTTTCGAATGCTACCTCTAGAGAAACAAGCACGGCAGCCATGTCAACGGCGATACGCCGTCACAAAAGAAACGCTGGGAGACGCGTTGCGATATAAACACAGTCAAAAAAAGAAACCTTGGGAGACGCGTTGCGATAGTCGAGTTCAAGTCCTCACCAAGTGTCGCCCGCGCAGCACGCGTAGAAACCGAGGTAAGCGCAGAGCAGCGCTCCGGCCAGCGGGTCGGGCTCGAAGTCCACGAGGCTGTCTCCTGCCCCCGTCACAACCGTGTGGTACACCGCTAGGATGGTTGCGAAGAGGGAGCACGACAACACCTGGGCGGCGCCGCGTTGTCCCCCTTCCTAAAGCAAGGGAAAGAGACAGAAGCAGACGAAGGACGCCAAACGAAACGTCGCTAAGACCCTCTTTAGAGTCAACTCTACAAATGCCTTTGGGTTGTTGTTGTCTTCACATTAAACCGTATGTCAGTTGCTAAATGCCAAAATCTAGCGAAGATTCTCAGCCCGTGGTCACGAAAGTGCTAGAGCCATCTGAGGATCTAAAGAACACGCACACATATAACGAGAAAAAGGTATCCAAGAGCCCGAAGAGGTACACCAAAAAATCCCTGCAGCACCGTATGCGTGCCCAAAAACTGAACTGCACGTCCGTCCCACCGTTCGACTACAGTAGCATCACCCCCTCCCTGTCCCACTCTACATCAAAACGGAAGATTGTCGACTACAGCATACTGCTGTCTGAAGTGCTGTCTGTACAAAAACACCATGATAGGAATGGAACAAGCAGCTGGCGGGGCACAAAGCTGCTGTCTGAAGTGCTTTGTGTCTGCGGCCGTACAGTGAAAAAGAGCAACTAACCAAAGCCATCATAGCAGCAATTGACAATCACCCGAATCTCTCCGATCGTCTGTGTTAGGCACTGCAGTGAAAAATATCGACACTAGCTAAGAATCGTTCCACATTGAAGGGGTCTTCCACGATCAGGCACAAAACCAATGCACCCGGGTTAGCCACGCCATCTCTGACGGGTCTCTCTACAAAACC